ACTTACCTTAGTGTCACTGCCAGTCTTTCTTCAGGTGAAATAGCGAGACGCATATCCGTATCTTGATAGGTTATACTCGGTCTCAGCAATAATAGAAGTTCATCAAAACTTTGTGTACTCATGCGAAAATATGAAAAGAATTTTGCAGGATAATTCCGTAATGTTTCATACATAGTATGGAATTTTCCTTTGAACAGTCTCTCACTGTATAATGGATGCACCCAGTAATTCCTTTTCCTCCTTTTATTGAGGCGAATCACAAGTGCAGTTTCAACAAAATCCATGTTTGACAATCGTCTACTGTCTGCAAATGCTCTCACGAAATGAAAGACAGAACGACTGAAAGGTCGTTCGTCTGCGCGCTTTCATATAATTCGAAGGGCCAACGACAGTTGGTAGACAGAAAAGTCCAGGGTTGTCGGTAGAGGTAACCGACTGCCAGTCGTGTCGTAACAGTGTGCGCATTTCCATATGTTCTTAAGGGCTTTGTGCGAACGACGAAACAGTCGTCTGACTGTTTGTCTTACGTGTGCGGTAGCCCTAACTCTTTAATCTGTTGGTTTATAATTCCATTCTAATCTTCACTCATTCTTTGTACTTCTATATTTCTATCTTTTCCCACATGTATTATTATTTTAATCTGTATTATTAACCTTAAATTTAACACATGTCAGTATTTCTTTTGTCAAACCATGTATATGAAGCTAAAAGTCTTACAAATCTCATTTTAAAATTTTCTTGTTTCAGTTTTTCATTTCCTCTGTCATCAAATGTTCATGTGTCTCTACTGTAATTTACTGCTGGTTTAATTAACGTGTTGTATAACTTAAGATATGCATTCGTGGGCGATGAATTATTCCGTAGGATTTGAGGTTTTACGGCGGTGAGTCTGAAGATCGCTGTCTTCTGGGTTGTTGCGCCATGTAGTCTCGTAGAAGTTTACTGACATTTAAGCCTTGATGATGGAGGCAGCAAGGACCTCTGAAACGTTGGCAAACATGTACCAGACTACACGGCGCAAGAACCCAGAAGACAGCGATCTTCAATGAATTATACCACTTACACTTAAAAATATGTACCTTTTATTTTCAAAGTCTCTCTTAACATTGTACTTTATAATTTAATTTCCTGTAATTAATTCTCTTGTTATGTGTTTGTGCTTGTTTTAATAACACTGCATATTCAGTCCGTGACATTACCAGAACAACAAGCTTATTCCATAAAATTTTAGTGTTAATGACTTGGTACAGTTTTTTTTTTCCTGTGTTGAGTACACATCATTCAGCATGGTGTGCATTGGTGGTTAGCAGGATTCATGACCCATCAGTACATGGGTTCGATAGGGACCGCGACATTTAACGCGCCTGCTGTGACTCCTTTTTGCGAGATGATGATGAAAGTGGAGTAATTGTTGGGATGCCACGGAGAAACCTGGGAAACCCTGGAGGAAAACTCGGTGATGCCTGGACCACAGCCTTGCCCAACACAAGTTGTAAATCTGAGCACCGCCGGGAATCGAACCCGGGACCCCAATATTACAAGCCCAGTGTTCTAACCACTAGATCACCGTGGTGGTTACTTGGTACAGTTGACAATTTTGTACATATTAAGTCCTTAGCTTATGTAATGTTTCAGCATGGATGGTTTTCGAGTCGTGAAACTGAATGAGGTGATTCGCAATGTAGATATTGTCATCACAGCAACAGGAAACAAGAATGTTGTCATGAGAGAACACATGGATAAGATGAAGAATGGGTGTGTCGTGTGCAATATGGGCCACTCGAACACCGAGATTGATATCGTGAGTATTATGCACTGAAAGTCAAGAATCATTCAAAATGAAATTTTGAATTGTTGTAAGATTTTAGTTATTGTATAACTACTGTTTTTCTGGTTCTCATACGAAGTGCAAGACCAACCATTCAAAATACAGCCATAGCCTTCTTAATTAATTAATTCCTCTTTTGTTTACTGTGTGCTTATAGAATGATTAACAGGTTTGTCACAGTCAAGAAACAACAATACTTTCTGTAAGAAAATTGAATTTTCCAATTATTGATATGTTTTCATCAATTTGATTTATAATTAATTTTACTTGAACAGATAAATTCTTAAGATACGAAGATCTGCCGATGTTGATTGGAACAGCATTTAACTGTATCTGTGGCATGCCATATGAAAACCTTGAATTTCACTGAGTAGTTCCTGTTTGCACGTGGTCTCTTCGGTCACATCGTGTGATTGAAGTTTTATTACCATAACCACTTTTGAAAAATAGACCTTTACTACAATGTGCAGTAAGATCTCGGTATAACGTACTTCAACGGACTGACAAATTGTATTCATTCAGTATTACATTGTCATTTCACTCTAATGAAATGCAGTACAAGGAATTAATAGCTTAAGACATTGTTTTTACAAAGGTTTAATGTATTCCTGTTTTTGAACGAACGTGAAAGTAAAAACCTTGCCTTATAGCCTGGTCAGTATGGTACACGTTGTTCTGTGACTGGATAATTCCTTGTCGTTCGTTTACTAATGAAAGGAATGGAATAATAAACTGTATAAATTCACACTTCAAGCCTTGGAGGATCTAAATAAAATGAGGCTGGTTCTGTCTCCGTCTTCAGGTAGAGGTACATACTCTGCTGGGTCCCTTAGATAGAGAGACAACCAGCCTCCGAAACGTCATGGGTTTTAAAGATTAGACGATGGAAAAAGTCCTGGCAACGAATAATTTTAAGTGTAACCTACCGTCGTCAAAACCCTTTTGAATTTTATTAAATAAAATGAGACAGAGACTCATTTTTAATGCAGATTTTTGTAAACGTCGGTGCAGGGCTATTGAGAATGGACTTGCTGGAACACTTTTATTTGACCACTGCTTAACTGCAGAGAAGTATCCAAATTTCCGTGAACTCTACTTGCCAAAATTGCTGGTAGATGTGTTTCAGTATAGTATATTATACTTTGGTAGGTACTGAATAGTGTTTTCAGTCATTATATTTAGATTTTATTGTATTAATAAATATAATTAACATTGTAGCAAAGATAGTTTATTTCTTCTTTCTAATGGAACAGTAAAGAAAGTATCGGATGCATTTGTTGTGATATTTTTTTGTCTTCCTACTGTTCTTATAACTGCTAAGAAACATTAAAACCAGAACAAAGAATTTGAAAAACTTATAGGTGATAAATGTGCATATAAACCGTAATATTACATAGTGTTATTATGAAGTTTATTTGTTTGTGTATTGTGTAACATGGTCTTCACCTCCTAATGAGCAGACTGCATGTCATGTGACGGCATCGCAAATGAAATATTTACCAACAATTCACTGTAATACATGGGATCACAGTTGAGTGGTAAACAAAAATTTTATTTTTATGATTATTTCTGACATCTATGTATGTATTTTTTTTTAATTCCACACCTTAGCAGTGATTGTGCCGCAGAACTATTCATATTCTGTGGCACAGGCCTTGTTAAGCTGGGATTTTCAAAAAAATGTAGTCGGGACAGAAAGAAATAATTAATCTTTTAAAATACTAGGCTTTGTGAAAAAATTCCTAGATGTTATGCTGTTTGGTTCATGGAATATGTTGAGCAGTGTAATAACTACTTTAATAAGGGTGTAAAATAATTGAAAGTCGGCATAAATGTCGCTTGTTTTGATGGCTTCCCTTCAACAGTTACGATCATTTCCACAGAATAGTCTCCGTACTCCAGATCTGACATGGGAGAAAGTTCGATCCCAGGTGGACCACGTAATCTGGCCAGATGGAAGAAGAATTATATTGTTGGCTGAAGGACGTTTGGTTAATTTGAGCTGTTCCAGCCTTCCATCATTTGTTGTATCCATTACTGCTGCAACACAGGTACACTGAGATTGGCTTGCCTTCTCGTAATTCTAGATTATAATTGGATGTAATTATACTCTGACCCAAAATTAATTTTGCAGTGTTTTCTTTGTTTTATGCTGGAAGCATATATTATTTTCCTATGGTAAAAAATCTGTTATGCCCGTGAAAGATGAAAGTGAGTTACGTGTTTTCAGAAATCTGTATTTGGTCTACCCTTACCTTTGTACTTCTATATTCATTTGTTACCTTATACCTCTGGAAATTTTGTATTTTGCATATGAAAAACCTACTGCTGAGCAGTAAGGAAGAAATATTTTCTTTTCTCGAGTCTCGGATGCAGTTTTCACTCGCTCCAAACTTGCCGGCCACTGTACTATTCTGTATTATTCTGTTTCTTATAAAATCTTGTTTCTGTTAGAGAGTAGATAATCACAGTTTCATTTCTAACACCTGTGTTTGTCTGCATCATTTATCTTGGTACCTTATAGGTGCTGCTCTCTGCATGCTGTGCTTATTATCACCAGCTAAATAAAAACATTTATTCATTATATGCACAACATGAATAGTGTAAATGCATAACAGCAGGTCAGACACCATCACACAATATATTGTGAACGCTGAATATTTTGACATCCGTTGCATAAACCGGGCTGTAATGAGATTGAGCCAAAACCTAGTTGGTCGAGTGCGAATACGAAGAAAACTGATGTGGGTAATTGCATTTTACCCTGACAAGAGGAGAATCCTGTTGCAAATGATGAATAGCGCGGTCATGCCATAATTGACAACAGTTGATGTACTTCTACTACTACTACTTCCTGTTGCAAGAATGGCGAAAGTTTCAAAGATTGTGCGTCATTTTCTGCGTAACGGCTGATACAGCTCATGCATACAGTACTGCCAACTCAACAGTTGCATCTTGTATATTCCCCCCACGTATTGCACTTTGTGATGCTCGTGTGAAATCATCGAATTTGATGTGCATCAAATTTTTAATAAGAAAACTTTAGATAGAAAGTTGAGTGTGGTAATTAGATAAATGCACAATAAAATCTTCTCGGGCGATCATCCGCGTCAAATGGTTAAACAGTAAAACCGATGTTTCAGTGTTCTGATGTGACAATAAAGTATTTTACTTATTGAAGTTTAGCATTTGAAGATACATTAATTTACTGTGGATGGGCTAGGCCATGCGGCAGGCTATACAAAACAGACTTCAGTGCGTTAAATACATAATGTTTCCATGTTTTTATTCATATTTCATATTTATAGATACCTTCGTTTTGACAGGCTCTTGCTCTGATAGAGTTATTCAATGCACCGCATGGCCGATACAAGTCTGATGTTTATTTACTTCCAAAGAAGATGGGTATGTATAATATTTCTTCATAATTTACCTGGAATGTTTTGCACTTCACTGCATGGTCTCGTTGAACGCTTGTAATCTTCTTGATAAATGTAAGATTTAGGAGCTGCTGTGGTGCTTACATCATGAATGAACATTCCTGTCCTCAGATGCTCAGAAGAAAATGCTGTTAAATAAGACAGTACAGGCATACCTCATTTTATTACGCTTCACAGATATTGCGTTTTTTACAAATTGAAGGGTTGTGGCAACCCTGCATCGAGCAAGTCTATCGGCGCAAGTTTTCCAACAGCATGTGCTCACTTCGTGTCTCTTTGTCACATTTTGGTAATTCTTGCAATGTTCGCGCATTGTTTTTTTTGGACATAATGCTATTGCACACTTAATAGACTACATTATAGGGTAAAATAACTTTTATATGCACTGGGAAACCAAAAAATTTGTGTGACTCGCTTTATTGCGGTGGTCTGTAACCGAACCCGCAATATCTCCGAGGTATGCCTGTATATATTTGTTTCTACCCAAACTTTTTCACTACTTTGACATATTTAATATACTGGAGTGGTTGCTCTTATATAATTTCCGTTACTCCTGTCCAAATGAAATTGTGTTAACATCCAGAATATTGATTTGAAGGATTAGGTTCCATTACCAATTAAGGTAAAGATTGACAAATCAGGATGGTTTGGATTCAGTCTGGCTAGTGAGCAGATGAGATCATCTTGGGATATGATTGATGATCATGGTTATTACTATTATTAACAATGAAGCAGTTTAGAAATCACGAATAGTATTTTTGTTCGCAATAGAAAAGTTATTATACACAGTGATAGAATGTTTTTGTATAAAAAGTGAAATTTAGGTGGCTGATGTAAGATAAATTTAATGACACATGGATTCAGTTTGACAAACATTTTCTAAACAGTACCGCATGCAATTTGTAAACTAAATTCCAAATTTTTATTGTAGATATTTTGTTCTGTGGAGCAGTGTGGAAGTGTATCTGCTCTGTTAAAAAGCTGACCACAGGGTATGTAGCATCACCTACACAAAGAATTATGTTCCTTTTTGCAAAATGATGTGTGCGCAAAAATAGTTTAGATTGTCAGGCTCTATTTGGTCAAACAGACTGGAACATGCTCGCCACTGGACCCAAGGTTCGCGGGTTCAAACCTGGCCGAGGTCGATGGATTTTTAAGGGTGATAAAAATCCGTAGCACAATTTCCTTCGGAGGGGAAGTAAAGCTGGCAGTCCCATGTCTTAGATTTGCGGCATGTAAAAGAACCTTACGAGCATGATACGAGATGTTTCGTTAGCAAAATTTCAGCGGCCATTTCTCACCCAAGTCTCCTGATTCACAGCTAGATGGCAGCCGAATCACGTTTGGGTATAAATTGTGTAGCATTACACAACACCGGAACGTACATTGGGTGTTGCTACACGGAAATAAATAAAACAAATTTTTCTGGTCATTTAATTATCGGAGTTTATCTCCTTAACGTCATAATACCTAAATTTGTTGAGTGCTTGCAGTTCAGTATTTTTACAGTAACACACTATTTAAAATTAATTAAATGTTTGCTTTTAGTTGCTGATGTAAATCAGAATTTGATTTGTTAATTTAGATCATAATAGAAATATGCTAAACCGCAAGCAAGAAAATAAAATAAAGATTAAAAGTGCAAAAAATCTTTCTTTTTATTCACTCATACCATTGTGCCTACCTATTTAAACATTATTGCTAAATTAATATTTCAATCTTTTTTAAGATGAATATGTGGCCAGCTTACATCTTCCCACATTTGACGCTCATTTAACGGAACTCACGGACGAGCAAGCAAAGTATATGGGCCTGAATAAAGCTGGGCCATTCAAGCCAAATTATTATAGGTAAGTTGAAGAAAATACAGGAATATTCAGCTTTTATAAGGATTGAAGGAGATGCTTTGGTGGCTTGTGGAGAAAAGTAAACGATTTTTGTTTTTATTGATTTACTTTATAGCCAGTTGAATTAATTGATGCCTTCCTCACTTTTTTTGATATTTTTTTCAAATTAATTTCTTGCAAGTTTGTCTCAAAGCCTGTTGTCTTACGAAGTGTAATATTTGTATTTTTCTGTCCAAACTTTAATTTTAACTATTAGGTTTCTTTGATGAGAAATATATAAAATTATCCTGTTCTTTCATTTAGTATACATAATGGTAATCAGCATCTTTTATATACTGTTTATTGTACCTACTAATTTGTAGAGGGAAATCAAGAAAACATCGCTGATAAGTAGAAACATATTTTGGTGCTTGAATATGAACCTCTCCAAAAAAGTGCTGTTCTAAGGGTGCTGGGTCAGCTGTTATTAAGTCTACATGCTCAGTAGTTTGGTCTGATTAGTCAAAAAATATTTTCATTTTGATCCTTTAAATTACATATGCATCACAATGATCAAAAAGTCACACAACCCATTCTTGATATATATGCTGTTTGCCAAAACATAAATTTTGCTAAAATCAGAAAATAGAAAGAAAAACAATGTTGTATTAAGTATTGAAATTGTCCGCTAGATTTACTCTTTTCCTCATGTTTGATGCAAGCTGATGAAGATTTTCTGCGGTGATGTTTGAAATGTACAGCTGAATTTTGTTTAAGTTCTTCTAATGTGTGCTGCCATTAAAACCTGATATCTTAAAAACAGTAGAAAACTTATAAAATGTGTTTACCCTTTTGTATGAAGTGTGTTAACCATCACCAGTACTGAGGTCATTTTTATTTGTCATTTTCATCGAGTTATATGCATGACATGTACCTGATACGGATGAAACTTTAATATCTTTGTAATCTCATGTACGATTCTGTAGGATAATCCACTCTGAAGAGAGACTTTTCTCATTGATTTTATATACAGGTGGGTGGGAAGTAAGTAGGCATTAAATAATCGCTATAGGTTTTGTAATATTGATGCAATCATAATGAAAATAATGTGTACATGTACGTCACGAAATAGGATATCATAATTCGCGCGTCGGTGGTGTGTGCAGTGGCCGAGAGAGGCAGCACGCGCAATGGCAACAAAGATGGCCGACCGCATGACTGTTCAGGAGCGAGCGCAGATTGCTGCATGCTATGAGGTGTGGAATTCAGTGGTTGCTGTGCAGAGATGGTGGCATACAGTGAAGGGAAGAAATGCCACAATCCGTCCGTAGACAATCAAGAACTGTCATTCGAAGCTTATGACCACAGGTTCAGTTACGGGCGCATGGAGAAGTGGCCGTCCATCCACATCCCGATCTGAGAAGAACGTGGCGCTGGTGCGGGAAATGTTCACCCGCAGCCCGCATAAATCAACATGTCAGGCTGCTCGCGAAAGCGAACTCTCGAGGCACACGATACGTACGGTGTTAGAGAAAGACTTGAATTTTCCCCCGTGGAAACCCCATTACGTGCAGGACGTTGGCTGGGACGACAAGGACCTCATGAATGGCCTTCAAGAAGTTCAGATCTCACGCCCTGTGGGGCTGGGCAAAGGAGGAGGTGTACCGGACAAAAACTCGCACACTGGAACAATTTGAGGCACGGATTCGGGACGTTATCACAAAACGTCCCACATGACTTCCTGCAGAAGACTGTGGAATCCATCCCCGGTCGTTTGAGGAAGCTGGTGAATGCCGCCGGTGCCTAAATTGAATTTTAAGCTATGCGTTCATATTCCCATTTAAAAATGTACATGTAAAAATTATTTTCATTATCTTTGCATTGAAAATATAGAGGTTAACCATTTCTCAATGCCTACTTACTTCCCAGCCATCCTGTAGAACATAACAAAGTTTATCATCACGTAACATCAAAGGTCAACAGGAATGCTTTCAGACATGCACGCTTGCTGTGTCATGAAAATGATTCACCGGGCGAGATATTGTCAATTTTTTTCTTCTATGGCTCTCCGGTCTGTATTCGGTCCATGGCCTCCTCAATCCTCCTCTTCCATTCGGTCCTTTGTTAGGTCCGTCTGTCCGAGGCTTTGATTGAGGTTTCGAAACATCTTCCTTTTTACGGTGCAAGGTTGTAAGCCTTGCAACCAACCCCCAACCTGGAGGACCAGGGTACCTGTCTTAGTCTGACCTCTCCCCCTCAACCAATCTGGCTAGGGAGGCCCTACCAGTAGCTATGCTACCGCCAGCATAGCTCTTGGGATCACTGAGGTACTCAAGCCCCACCACCACGACAAGGTGCAGGCACCATTAAGTGGGGTGTCAATTTGGTGTAGAATAATCTAGAAACTCATTCTGACAAGTAAGAATGAGATACCAGGTAGTTTGACATGAGCACTCATCGCACCTGTGAAAGACATCTTCACACTTTGACTGTCGAAAGACGGCTTGTAGACTCGTTTGAGCTGGTTTCAGCACGACGTGACCTACTTGGGCTCACGTATAGTCGGAGCGATGTTGCGTGTTTATTGATCCAGTCAGACTGTATTGAATTGCAACCATCAATCAATTTTTCAATATGGGTTGCGTGACTTTTTGATTCACTTGTAGGCCACAGATTACACTAGTCATCAAGGTTTTTAGTAACGTGATTCAGAACTAACTTTTTGTCTGAATTCTGACATGATTTATGCTGGTCTTGACTTAAAAGTTTTGCTTCATGTGACAGTTTAGATAACAAGAGTAAAACAAAAGGGGAGAAAAGTGTTCACACGAAGAAAAAATAACTTTTTGTGTAATGTATTCAGTCAGAATAGCATTTTGTATTACTTTTGTGTTTTTGTCAACCGTAATGTAAGATTGTGATGTTTTAGTGGATTCCAAGTACATTTTTCTTAATCTGTTTATTTTTCTTTGTGTTCTTGTTACATTTATGACAATAATGTGAGCCTATGGTGTTTTAATAGTGATTCCAAGTATAATATCAATTTAGTAACGTCTATCTTTCAAACTGCATAGTAAGTGATGTGTAAGTTCATATTTTTGTAATAAAATAAAAATTATTGGATAAAAGACTTGAGCATGTTACAGATTTTTCAAAATGGCTTAGTTTGTTCATGTTATCAACTAATAAAAATTTATTGTCCTGTGTTAGTTTATGCCAGTATGTAGTTTCTTCCTTGTTGCAATTGGCTTTTATAACCTTAACAACACTCAAAAATTTTCATCCCACAATTTTTTCTGTGTGGCCAGAAAATAAATGTGAAAGTGTTTGTGTGAATGTAAATTAATTTTGCGTATGGGTTGTCAGTGAACCCTGAATGCATGTAACGTGAAACAACGTATTTACTAGAGTAAATTAAAATCCGATCACTTTTCAGAAAAATCTGATAAGAATAAAGAACACTTTTGCTTTTCATGCAAATTTTATTCTCTTTGCTCTTTCTTCTACCACTGGTTGTGGACGCAATGCTGAGCCTATTAACTGTAATCAAGATTATTATTTTCGCTGATAATGGCACGGAACAACATTCCATGTAATAAGAAACCTGGTTCAAGTATAACGGGTTTCTAAGTGACTGGTTGTCTTTAGCCTGAATATGGCTGTCTTCTGTGTTGTGTCGTGTAGTCTGGTGGAAGTTTACCGACATTTCAGAGGTCCTTGCTGCCTCCATCATCGCCCTGATGACGGAGGCAGTATGACCTCTGAAACGCCAGTAAACTTCCACCAGACTACACGACACAACACAGAAGACAGCCATATTCAGACTAACCGCCGTGAAAACCTCAAATTCTATTCAGCTTGGATGTTTCATGCACTGGAGTTTTTTTGTTGTGTGTGCAGTTATAGAATATATAGAATATTCTGTACGTTACAGATTATTATTCTGTGTCAGATTTTGTCTCTTTTTTAAGTGAAAATATTTGTTTTAAGAAATTTTTTATTTACAAGAATTTGAAAACATTCCAAAATATATAAAGATGACCATAAATGGATATTATATCAGTTCAGATGCAGTTTACATTTGGTGTTATTAAGACCTCAACCTTAGTTTTTATTTACTTTTGATGATAAATTTATTTGGTGTCACATTATTGTAATTTACTTTTGTTATATTATTTTTTATTGTTTTACATTGTGTCAGACTTAAGTACAAACTTTGTTGAAATATTTTTCAGTTATTTAAGAAAATATGGTGAGTGTTTAGTTTGAAGTACTTTCTTTCAGAAATAATTGATTCATTTGTAGGTAATTATGCCTCCTTATCATGGTTAACGTTTGATACTCTTATATGTCCTTGTGTATATAAGTTCCTGCTTCCATTGTGCCATTCATCAACATAATTCTGTGACTTCTCAAATTACGATCATTACAAAAATTATCCGCGCACTGTCTAAGGTATGCATACAACATGAGGTACAAAATTTGGATTGCATGTAAGTTAAATTGTTGTTCATATGGTCCATTAATGTACAAAATTCCACAGATCTTAAGAAAATTTATTTATAATATAAATCTAGGTTGAATTTATGTGAGATTAGTAGGTGCTAATTTCATGAAAATCAATTTGGCCATAGCATTTGGTTTGCTTATCAGTGCAAACTGAAACCAGAGGCAGACATAGTTCATAAACATTTTTATTCAAATGTTGTCCTTTACGCTGTTTGCACTGTCAATCACATTTATGGAAACTGTAGTTAGCCCTTTGCCATCGGGCAGAAAGAACTAGTCAGGATAATTAAAACGTGTTTAAGGGAAACCTCTAGTAAAATTCGTGAAGGTAAACATTTGTCTGATACATTTCTTATTCAGAATGGCCTGAAACAGGGAGATGCTCTGTCACCGCTGCTTTTTAATTTTGCCCCAGAATATGCCATCAAGAAAGTTCAAGAAATTCGGGGCGGTTTGGAATTGAATGGGACACGTCAGCTTTTGTTCTGTGCTGACGATATTAATCTGTTGGGCGATAATATAAATACTATAAAAAGCAAACACAAAATCACTTTTAAGGGCTGGTAGGGATGTTGGTCTAGAAATAAATGCAGAAAAGGCAAAGTATATGATCATGTCTCGGCATCAGAATTCAGGACAGAACCAGGATATAAGGTTAGCTAATGAAACATTCGAAAATTTGACAAAATTCTAGTACTTGCGGATGGCACTAACAAGTCAGAATGACATTCATGACGATTCAAGAGGATATCAAATTCAGGGGATGCTTACTATCATTCAGTCCAAAATCTTTTGTCCTCGCGTCTCATATCAAAAAATCTAATTATTAAAATATACAAAAGTGTAATTTTGCCAGTTGTGCTGTAGATATTGTTAGGATAATTAAATCATGAAGTATAAGGTGGGCGGGAACAACGGCACGCATGGGGTAGGTAGGGGTGTTTACAAGGAGGGAGGTGGAGAGGCCTGAGGCCAGGAAACCTCTGGGAAGACCTAGGCGTAGGTTGGAGGATAACATTAAGATGGACCTTAGGGAAATAGAAATTGATGGAGCGAACTGGGTGCAGCTGGCTCAGGATATAGTTTGGTGGCAGGATTTTGTGACTCAGTGAGTTCTGTAAAGAAAGTGGGCTATTCTTTGACAAGCCAAGTATACATTTCGAGTTTTCAAAGAATGTCCTGTGCCGTAGAGGGAGTGAGTGAGTGATTCCTGTAGTTGTGATTTTGTCGCTTTGTGGCAGAGGAATAGTTTACATTTGTATGAAATAAAGTTGAGAATGCGAGTTGCAATTCCAGAATGGAGATTATGAACTGAGTTTTACATGAATGGCGTCTTTTCCTTGCCATTAATGAGTTGCAATGGAGGTGTGTGGGTTGTTTAATTTACTCTTATAACTTTTCTCATCTGTCTTCTTAACTCTTAAAATGGGGTACACTGAAGACTGTTTTGAATTTATGAAAAAAGAATAAAAATCTAGATTTGTGCATCCATCTACTTTTATGCTGTACACTGGGAAATGTAGGCAAATTTTCATTCCTTTTCTGTGATTTTAAGCTTTTGAAGACCATTTATGTTGTGGTCTGTCTCTGGTTGTTTCATTAATTAAAATTTGCTTGATATTTGAGGTTCTCAGTGGTGAAGAGGTTGATTATGGCCTTCTGGGTTGTTACGCCATGTAGTCTTCTAGGTGGCTACTGATATTTCACAGGAAATTATTGCTTCCATGTTCCTTGAAGATTGAGGTTATGAATTCTTCTGGAACATTGGTAATCACAGGATTACATGGCGTCAAACCCAGAAGACCAAAATGGACCAATAAAGTTTATTTTATCATAATATTTTGTTATACGCTGATTACTCTGTTCCGCTGTGTTAGGAATGGCACACAGAAATATTGAGACATAATTCTGTTTCTCTGTTTATGGGGCGTACCTTACATGCTGTGATTTTATTGCAGGTACTAACTGGTTCCTGAAACTGCTGGAAGTTGATGGACAGAAATGGCGTAATACTCTTGATATTAATATCATATATTTGGGCTTGTAGAGCATGGTTTTAGGAAATGGATAGAGTTATATTTGCCTTGATCTATTTGTAGTAGGCATAAATGAAGACAGTTTTGACATGCGGAGCCAAATAATGGTGTTTAACAGTGCCTGTTTTCTCTTTATCCATTTTCTTCTCATGAGGAAATGTGGAGATGGCAACATTTCGCTGATCATTCTGTTGTTTTGCATCTAAATTTTGACACTCGTCTCACTAAATCAAACCATTTGAATGTATTAATATGAATTAGGACCTGTGGCCACTGATTGGTTGAAAATTGACAATGATTTAAAATTGATGCATAGCTTTTACTACTACCAAAATTGAAGAAGTTTTAGGAAGTCACTGAAAGTAAGTTTAATTGATTTCATATATTTTATGATGGTACAGACATAATATGTTGTGGGCAAACAGTATTATTTTTAGATTTGAGGTTCTCACAGCACAAAAGATGTCGAGTGTTTTCGATTATAACGCTGTGTGAAGTTGTAGCTAAACACCAACGTTTTGGAGGCACGTACTGCTTTCATCTTCAAGGCTGAAGGTAGTATTTGTATCTACCTGCAAGTCTGAACAGCATTACAACTCAGAAGACAAACATTAACAGTGTTTATTTTCGCACTTTCTCTGTACATATTAAGATTCTGAAAAGTGGCATTGCATATTAATTATGTTTCTGAAACTTAGTGATCAGAGGAAACCATTTTCCCCTATTTTTTTTTTACAGACTTCATCAACCATCTTGAAGCAGTCGCCAATAGGGATAGCGTAGTGCTCGATAGGCTGGTGTTGTGTGTAAATCGTGGAAAGTACGCTTCATGTTCTGAATATAACTGTACATAATCTGTCAGTTAAAATGAGAGGAGATATGGGATATGACAAACGAAGGCTGTGTAAAACTTCGGTCGCAGTCGGTATTGTGCAGTATTCACCATTTGTATCTGTAAATTCATGTCTATATTTCCATAATGTACGATGTAGTTTTAATTCCAGTATTTTCTGCATGGCCATTTTGGGTTGCTCGTAATGAGAGGAAATACAATTTGTAAAAATGTATCCCTCGAGGACTCACAAAACCACATTATTGTTTATGATTTGAAATTGATGAGAAACTGTGTGTATTGATTGTACCTAAAACTTACCATTCCAAAGTGATGGGCTTATTGATAGCTCTACGTCACCATTTAGTGTCATGAGAACGGTACATTCACAACCATTTTCAGAGAGATGGGTGTGTAGTTGAATGGCCAAGATGTGCCTTTTCTTCTTTCACCATTTGTTCTTGTGGTCAGACTTCAGTAATGCGAGGAGAAGAACATTTAATGTCTTACATTTAAACCTGATTTCGTGAAAGTAGTTGTGAATAAGCAGATTTGTATTTCGTTACAACTTAAAGAGTGGTAAGTTTTCGGTATCGTGCTCATAAATGTTTTGATCTACAAAATGAATTTCAGGTTCTCGTGGCAGCAAGTATAAATATGGCTGTCTTCGGGATTGTAGCGTCATGTAGTCAGGTAGAAGTTTACCAACATTTCAGAGATCCTTGCTGCCTCTATCATCAGGGTACAAAGAGTAAGCTGTGTGCGAGGAATCTATTTGAGATATGGGAATCGTTCGGACGAGGTAGAACCTTGACTGTGCTAGTGGGGAAGACTTTGAGGATCAGGTGAACGGAAGGGATCCAACGGGAGAAGAGCAGACATGGCTTGGCCAGAAGGGAAGTGGGGAGACTGTGCAGGAGGAAAGGAAATGGGCCTTATCAGTGCCCCTTTGGGGACAACAGCGAGATCACCAAATAGTCATTGTATTCATAGGTTGTTTGTATTGAGTTAACAGGTTATGTAGATGTATTTTAAATCAGGTGAAGTGCATTTCACTGTGTTATGGGTTAAAATTTCATTTTATTTACTGTCATATATAACTTACGAGCATGTGTAATTATTTATTCATGCCTTCATGTTTTATTTAATCTTCATCTCCAGGGGCAACACAATAACAAGTTTCCACAAGAATTTGTAGAAAATTAATGCTGCAATATAAAGTTTGTAGAAGAAACACGAAGACTTATTAGTGATTATAGTATAGTCAAATAACGGATACAATAAGTGTAAAACTGGTATAATAACGTGTTTTAATTTTAAAAGTGTCTGCGTAATTAATACATAAGATTAATGCATAACAAATTAATGTGAAAACTTGTTATTGTGTTGCTCCTGAAAATGGCA